GGAAAGGAAAGAAGGTAAAGGAAAAATGCTGAGAAATGGAAAAAATGGAAATAAAGTCTTTGTAAATAGGGAAGGGTGGAGGGCATGAAGGGAGGGCTAGGATTGGGGAAAAAAAATAAGAACCAAGATGCATTATGTAAAGGTACAATTCCCAATAAGAAATGTAATTTTGTTATCTACCTAAAATGTACCAATAAAAGAATTTAACAACAACAAAAAAATTCATGAGCACCAAACCAGCACAACCAAAATTTCTCAAGTAAAACAAAGCCAACAATGCCAAAAAGTCTAACAGAATAAATGCACCAGGCAGCATGACCAGTGAAGGAAAAGGGAAAGGGGGAGAAAATCAGCAAAAGGAAAATAATGCAATGACAGGAATAATACCTTATAGCATTAACATTTAATGTGAACGGTCTCAATTCCACAGTCAAAACACACAGGCAGAATGGATCAAGAAACAAAATCCAATGGTGAACCAAGAAGATATAATTGAAGCAGTAATTACTATCAACTATGAAGAGTCCAGGACCCAATGGGTTTACTGTTGAATTCTACGATAATTTTAGAGAAAACCTAAAGGCAATATTCCTCAAACTTAATAAATCACATAATCACCCTAACAGATGCAGAAAAAGCCTTTGACAAAATCCAAAATCTATTCATGATAAAAACCCTAAGAATAACAGTTACAGAAGGACCTTATCTTTACCTGATAAAAGACATGTATGACAAACCAACAGGGAACATCATATTAAATGGAGGAAAAGCTAAAAATTTTCTCTCTAAAATCAGGACCAAGACAAGGATGTCCATTCTCACCACTCTTGTTCAATACAGTTTTCAGAACATCAGCCACAGCAACCAAACAAGAGAAAGAAATAAAAAGTGTATGTTAAGAAAAGAAGAGGTGAAATTATCATTATTTGCAGAAGACATGATCCTCTACATAGAAGACCCAAAAGAGTTCCACCAAAACATTCATGATTAATTTAAAAATTTGGACGAACAGCAGGATACAAAATCAAACAAAAATCAATACTATTCCTGTATACCAATAATGAACTCACTGAGAAAAAAATTAAGAAAATGATACCATTCACAATAGCATCAAAAAAATTAAATACCTAAGAAGACCTCTAAAATGAAAACTCTGAAAAAGGAGATCAAAGATGACATCAGAAAATGCAAAGATATCCCTTGTTCTGGGGTAAGGAGAAACAATACTGTTAAAATGCCCAAACTTCCAAAACTGCTATATAAATATAAGGCAATTCCAATGAAAATACGAATAACATTCCTCACAGAAGTAGAGAAAACAATCCTGAAATCATACAGAATGAGAAGAGACCCAGAATAGCAAAAACAATCCTAGGCAACAAGAGAAAAGAGGTGGGCATGAAAATCCCAGACTTCAAATCACACTACAAAGCTACAATTATAAATATATATATATATATATATAAATAAAAGATTTACAAAATCACAGTATTGGCAAAAAAAAAAAAAAAGGACATGTGGATCAATGGAATGAAACAAAGGATGGAGAAACAATCACAAGCACATTCAGTTAGATCTTTCACAAAGGAGACAAAAACATGCTGGAGGAAAGACAGCCTCTTTAACAAGTCATTCTGGGAAAACTGGCTATCTACCACAGACATCATGTACTAAACTAAAATCAAAATGGATCAAAGACCTAAACGCTGGGCCAGGGATTTAGCTCAATGGGTCCACTGCCTGCCTCGCAAGAGCAAGGACCTGAGTTCGATCCCAGGTACCAAAAAAAAAAAAAACACCTAAATGTTAAAACAGAAACAATCTGTTAGAAGATAAAATACGTAAAACTCTTGAAGATGTAGGCACAGGCAAGGGCTTTCTGAACAAAAGCCCAACTGCACAAGAAACAGTACCAAGTATTATCAAGAAATGGGATCATAGCAAATTAAAAAGTTTCTGCACAGAAAAGGAAACCAATCAATAAAGTGAAGAGACAACCTACAGAATAGAAAAAAAATTTGCCTGCTATTCCTTGGACAGAAGACTAATATCTAGAATATATAAACAATTCAAAAAAAATTACACTTCCCCTAAAGAAAAGACTCAATCAAAAAATGAGTAACTGAAATGAATAGACAGTTCTCAGAAGAAGTACAAGTGGCCAATAAGTACAGGAAAAAAAATATTCAACATCTCTGGCAATTAAAAAAATGCAAATTAAAACAACATTCAACCTATCAATCACTAACAAATGTGAGTGAGGAAGTGGGGAAAAAGAAACCCTTGTACATTGTTCATGGGAATGTAAACTAGTACAACCACTGTAGAAATCAATACGGAGATTTCTCAAAAAACTAAAACTAGAAATTCCATTTGACACATCTGTTCTCCTTCTAGGTTATCTTTCTGAAAGGGTCAGAGACATTATATTATAGTGATACATGTATACTCATGTTTATAATAGTTTAATCTTGGAAGGAGCCTATATGTCTGTGGGCAGATGAATAGACAAAGAAAATATGGCATTTACACAATGGATGAAAACTTTTTGTGGTACATGGTCTAATACCAAGCATTAGTACAGTATACAAAATTATGAAGACCTTCATTGCATGATTTAAGTAAGCTTTTAGAATACCAATGTGCCAATGACACCATTATATAGCTAGCTTCAGTAACATATAAATCCTAGTATAAAACATTATATAAAAAAAATTTCAAAATCCCAACTAAATATCATCTTGCATAATACTTAAACTAATAAAATTCAAAAAGAATCCTGACAAATAGGTTTTAAACATGCCAAAATCTCACATTCAATCAGTTTCTGCCCAATCCATATAAAAGATAAACTATAAACACAGATAAAATAATACAAAGCAAGAAATAGCACAATAACTTCTGGAAAACCAGAAAAACTTCCAGAGCAGACCCAAGTTTTCAGATTGGCTCCTGGTCACAGTGCCCAGATAATCCAGACCATGTTCTTTACACCACATGTTTGGCACCAATCAAAATACTGAAATGGTAACTAATCAGAAAATTGAGACTGGTAAGGCCTCTGTTAGATGCAATGCTTTGGCTCTCAACTCAATTCTAACACTTAGTAACATGTGTCATTACTTATTTACACAAATATTGAGTGTTGTTGGGCAAGGAGTATGTGAACCTCACAATACTTTTTAAGTTACACAACTAAGCTCTACCTAAGAAGAACACATGATTACTATATTTTAAATTAAGGCTGAGAAACATTTAAAAGGTTATAGAGATTATCTTGGTTGCATGTCTATCAAGAACATTCCAGAAGTATAGCTTACCTATATGACCAACTTTAACTTTAAATGGTACATCCAGTTGACTCTACAGTAAAAAAGCAAATAAATATGTAAAGCATTAGTATATATAAAATTGAACAATACATACCTAAATTTTTTGTTCCTAAAATTATTTGAAGAGTTTTTAAATTACCTTACATTCTTCAAATTTATAAGAATTTAACTGTGGTATTCTCAAGCCAATAAAATTAAAACACTTCTTTTTAAAATGAAAGGTCCACATTAATACTTATCAAAAAAATCTACCCATGTAAGAATTATTACCACTTTCATATTTTTTTTAAAGGAGAGATGAGACACACTGTCAGTTTGCGCTTCTAAAGGGATTAAAACTTTTATTTTGTAAAATTCAGTTTGAAAAAAAAATTTTTTTTAAACTGTTTCTCTCCATTCAAGGTGGAAAAGGACAGCCTTTACAATAAACAGTGCTAGGAAAAGTGGACATCACTTGCAAAGATATGAGGTTGAACCCTTATACCATTTGTAAAAATTAAATCTGGTCATGGTGGCAGATGCCTATAATCCCTATACACTAGTAGGCTGAGGCAGAAGAATCAGTTCAAGCTCAGCCAGGACACATTAGTGACTTAGCTAGACCCTGCTTCAAAATAACCAAAAGGGCTGGATTCAATCACAAAACAAAACAAACAAAACAGTATCACAAAACAAAAAAAAAACAAAAACTCAAAATGGTCATAGAACTAAACAAAAGAGCTAAAACTATAAAACAGAGGAAAACATAACAAGAAATCTTTAATGACATCAGATTTGGTAATTATTTCTTGGAAAAGATAACAAAAGCATAGGCAATTTCAAAAAGTAGATCTAGCCTTTACCAAATTAAAAACTTCTGTGTATCAAAGGACACTATCAACAGAGTTAAGGAAACTTCTGAAATAGGGAAAAAACATTTGCAAATCATATATATAAGGTAAGGGATCAATATGCTGAATATACAAAAATCTCCAAAAATTCAACCACCACAACAATAAAACCTGATTATAAAACAACAAAAGGCTTAAAAGACATTTCTCCAAAGAACATGTACAACTGGCAATAAGCATGCCAAAAGATGCTTGACATTACCAGTCATTAGGCAAATGTCTGGTCTTTAGGGCAATTATAATCAAAATAAGGTATCACTTCACATCCATGAAAATGGTGGTTACCAAATAAAAGCAGAAGATAACAAATGTTGGAAGATACGGAGAATATAGAGAAATTAGAACACTTGTGCACTGCTGGAAGGAATGTGAAAAGGTATAACGCCTATAGAAAAACCTGTGGTCATTCCTGAGAAAGCTAAATATAAAATTATCATCCGATTCAGCAATTCTACTTCTAGGTTTATAACCAAAGAAAATGAAAGTAGGATCTGGAACACACACATGCACACTAATACTCATTGCAGCATTCCAGGTAAGACCCAAAAGGCAAAAACAGCTGAAGTGTATGAAAAGCTGCACGGAGAAACAAAATGCAATATATACACACAGTGAAATATTATTTGACCATTAAAAAGATCTTCTGATACATGCTACAAGATGGGTGCACCTTGAAAACACTATGTTAAGTGAAATAAACTAAACAAATGGGAAATATGACACAATTCTGTCTATATTAAGTACCTAGAAGAGGCAAATTTTTGTGGGTGGGAAGAAGGGATTGAAAATTTCAGTTTGCAGTAAAGAAAAATGTACAGAATCTATCAAGAAATGAAATAGGAATAGATTATAGAGTTTCTCTTGGGGATGTGAAAAAGTTGTGAAAATCAATATTGTGAGGATTGCACAAAATTGTGCATAAATTCATAAAACCGATTTGAATGTCAAATGGTGTTAAACAAAACTTGAAAACAACTAAAAGATAAGCTAATCACTAAAAATAAATCCATATGGAAAGAAAACTATAAAAATATTTTAAACAGGAAAAAATACACTGTGAGACTGTGCTTCTAAGAAAATTAAAGCTCAATTTTACAAAATTCACATTTTATAAAAATGACTCCTAAAAACTTTTCTCAAATTTAAATAATTTAAGGTGGAAAACTGAATAAAAAGGAAGTATCCACAGTCAACTACACTAACATTACAAAATCTCATAGTCAAAACCTACCAAAGCATTTTCTTTAATTTCAAGATTCTTGAGGGCCACAGCTCCTAAAAAAGATAATAAAAATAAACTTGAAACACTGAAGTATTTTCATCTTAAAAAGTTAAATATATTTTATTCCTCAGTATCATAGTAGGCATAATCACAATGTAATACAAAATAGAATCTACTATTTTTAATAGCTTATCTTCATATATCTGCATAGTATATAATGTTTAACCAAAACATCACTTATTGAAATGTTTGATTCCTGCTGTTTTAGTTCATTAACGTATACAAACATTTTAATCAGAATTATGTAAATATGAATTTAGAAAAGTAGCTTGATACGAAATCAATAAGCAAACAAATATGTAAGAACTGACAAATGTTATTACAACAAATTTAAAAAACTTCTGCACAGCAAAGAAAATAATCAACAGAGTGAATAGACAAATGATAAATTTATCTGATAGAGGATTAGTATTCAGAATATATAAAGAACTCAGTAACTTTACAACAAAACAAGTAACCCAACTTAAAAATTTGTAACTGATGGGCCAAGGATTTAGCTCAGTGGTTCTGGCGCCTGACTCTCAAGTGCACAAGGTCCCGAGTTTGATCCCAGTACCAAAAAAAAAAAAAAATTTGTAACTGAACCGAATAGATACTTCTCAAAAGAAGTACAAATGCCAATAAATACATTTAAAAATGCTCAATCGAGGAAGTGCAAATCAAAGCTACAGTAAAATTTTTCATCCCAGTGGCCATTATCAAAAAAACAAACCTACAAATGCTAGCAAAGTTGTAGAGAAAAAGAAACCTTTAGACACTGTTGCTGGGGATGTAAATTAGTACAATCACTACTGAGAAAAGTAGCACCGCAGTTCCTCAAAAAACTGAAAACAGATATAGACAGCCTTTTTGGAAGTTTTCAGCTGGCAGCTTGTGCAGGCGTGTTTGAGGATTCAGCCAGGGACTATAGGACAGGGTTTGGTATTCTATCTCTACAGAAATACTGTCATCAGTACCAGGAAACTATTTTTGTGTTTCTTGTGATGCATTTTCCTTTCAACTGAAGGCTCTTGAATCCTTAGGAAATGAGCGCTCATCTATAAGTACACCAAACATAGGCATTTCTTTACAGATTACATAACTCCCATCCCTGGATTACAAGGGAATTGAAAATCAGGCTCATCCAGAAAAACATGATATGAGGGCATGGCCAGCCCAGTGCCACAGCAAAGAAGGGTCCCTCCTGTGACCAGTGAAAGAGACTGTCATCCCAACACAAGTGGAGGGAACCAAAGTCTGGGTGACACCAGAGGGAGCTACCTCCAAAACCATGCATACTTATAAGCCCAAAACAATATAGTTTAAAGGAACATTTTCAATCTGTCTGTGATACTTAACTGATTGTGTCAACTTAAGAAACACCTAACTAAACTGGATCAGTGTAGTTCAGAGTGTGGCTGAGGGGACTACTGAAGATTGAAGACCCACCCTAGGGTGGCTTGTCACCTGAATGGTATAAAAGAGAAACAAAGAAGGAAGCTTGCTTCTGTTTCTTCAGAGAAGCTCCAGTCTTTATCTTCACCTTGGACATTGTCTCTCGGCTACCCCAGCACAGACTCTTCAGGCTCCAGAACAGACCCTCCAGTCTTCTGGTGCAGGTCCTTCAGCATCTTAATACAGACTTGCACTGGACACTAAACCAAGCGCCAGGCCTTCAACTAGATCCTTTGGATCTCCAGCACACAAAGCAGACCTTTTTACATTCTTCCACACCTGACTCTGTGGGCAACCACTGTAAGTCAATCTTGTACATTCTTATATATTTGTATATGTCCATTAAATCTGTTTCTCTAGTAAGCACTGACTGGTACAGATTTTGGTACCAGGAGCAGAGTGTTGCTGTGACTGTCCCTGACCAGGTAGTTCAGGGGCCTTTTGGAACTGGCGTGTAGAAAGTGTTTGGAAAGGTTCAGAGATGCTGGCTGAAGAAGCAGCCCTAGAATGCTGTAAGCTGTATTTGATGGGAGATTCTGGTTAGAGCTAAGATGACCAGAATACCAATAGAAACAATGCCAGTAAAGACAAGGCTCGGGAGGTTTCTATTGGGAAGAAGGACTGCACTCACTGTTGGACTCCAGACCGTGTGTGTTATGCTTTGAAAGGATGTACATGAGCCTCCGCTCAAAGCCTCATGCTCATAGCTGGGAGTTTTGGGAGGTAGCTGAATTTAGGGTGTACGATGCCGTGATCAAAATGTAAGATGCTGGAATTAAGGTTGCGTGACTACTAAATCAGCCAACTGATTGGTTTAGAATAGTTCTGAGTGTGGATAATGGGAAGGCCTATGTTGGGTGTGGGTGGCACCATCCACAAGGCACATAGCCTGGAGGAGATAAAACAGAGAGCCAGGGTGCTGGTGCTGGTGCTGCTGCCGCTACTTCACTGTTTTGCTGCCTTCTGCCTATTCTGATTTGCCATGGACTTTTTCTCCTCTGCGATGCCCCTCTCCCATGCCACCCTGCCTCAAAGCCAGCTCACTACAGACTGAAACCTCTACAAACTGTAAGCCAAAATCAATCTTTCCTCCTTCAACTGTGGGGGTCAGGTAATTTACCTCAGCAAAAATAAAAATAACTAAGACATTGCCCCCTTTTGATATTCTTTCTCTGAAAGTTGAAAAGCAATCATTCAGGTTTTTTTGAGTTTTGATTACCAGTTTAATTTTCTATTCGGCAATGCTGTTGGAGTCAATTGTACCTTTTGCTTTGGAGGCATGTTGGGCTAAGCTTCTGGTCTTGATTATCTTTCTACCCTGAAGATGGTAAGAATTTGGTTCTTGTGTCACTTCTATCCCGCCCTTCCCCTGAGAAATAACGCAATTTATAACAGCAGCATTTTGTCCAAGGCAATTCTATTTTCTGTGGCTGTCAAATTCCAGGATCAGGTTTCCAGAATGGTGAGTTTTCCTCTCCATATGACCTTTTCAGAGTGGAGCTGGCATTTGCTGTTCCCTCTGACTTACTCCTGGGCCATATTCTCAAAAACTAGCCTAGATTAAATCCTCAAATTCTGAAAGCTGAATAAAAACATTTTAGTTCAATTTTTTCAGCCTTTCTGACTTTGGTAGAACTGGAAATTAGGAAATACCTCCACTCTTTTCACTTCTTCCCTTCAGGAATGCTGCTCCACAGGGCAGACTGACTGGTTTTTATAGCACAGATGAGTTCATTGATAGAACAGAAAACATTCCTAGGGAACTTTAACAAGTTTAGTAACAGTTTTAAACAGAATTAGATATTAGGAACAATCACAGCCTCCCAGTCCTCAAAGGACTGTTACTCTTTTGGCATGATTTCTCTCTAAAACATGTAGCCAGGCTGGTAACTACTGGCTACCAGCCAAAACATGTACTGGCTGGTATACTCAAGAGATATGCTGAGGGCAGAAAAAGGAAAAGCCTATAGGTAACTTTGAGCCAAAAGGTCACAGGATCACAAGGAAATGGGTGCAGATGACCTGGTTCTAGCCACTTCCTCAAGCACCTCCAACTGACTGCTAGCACTGGACGAGGTCAAACCGAAGTGAGCCCTTATATAAAAGGAGAACAGAACAAATAGGGATAGACAAGTATGTCTTCTCTCCACTTGTTTCTTTCCAAAACAGGGAAGAAACTGCCATAGGTAGACATCTGCATCAGGGCAGATTGGGGCCTTGGCAGACTTTATTTCCTCACCTTTTGTAATACATACTTCACTCCACAAAGTGTCACCTAGTTTCTTCTTACATCCAAACCTCACCTGAGCACCTCCCTGAAAATAACATAGCTGAAGTTACCTTTAACATTCTATCCCTTTAGACGGAACAGCTAGTTACATGTGGGTATCAAAACAGCAGTTTTGTCTATCAGCTGTGGCTATCCAACAACCATGGCTATCAAAGAAACAGAGGGCCCTGAGAAGCCTGTATCAGTACTCTAAAATTAAGACAAACCTTCATAAAAACAGTTCTTGCTCTCACAGGTATGAAAGAATTTTTTTCCTTCTGATTCTTACTATAAGAGATCTCTGCTAATGGATGGCCTACAGGAAAAATTCTGATAAGTCTATTTGTAGTTATAAACCTAAAAACTGTAAAAGGGTTATTGTAGTTCAATTTGGCCAATACATCTGAGAGTGCATTCTGATTTAAATGTAATTGTCTTCTCTGTCTGTTTAATCTGTGTTAATAACAGGTTAAAACATCTGCAGCTACTTCATTTAAGAAAAAAAAATTTTAAGCACAATTTATTAAATTATTTTAGCTCTTTTTTGAGATTTCCATGGAAAAATTCTTTAGATATGTTTTCAAGGTAGCCAAACTCACCTAAAATATTACGAGATGAGGACTGGTAGGCTCAAGACTTACAAAGAGCTAATAGAAGCCTTAAAGTTCGATATCATAAAGATTACATAGGATTTAGGTTGGTATGTATGTTTGACTTTTTCCAAGGCTAGCAAACACCAACAGTCTTCAGGGAAACATGGGCAAGAAAGCCTCCAATTTGAGTGCCAAGGTGGCATTCAGAGAGCCATCACCACAGTGACCGAAACCCGTTGCAATAAACTCATGGCACCCATGGCTGCAACTGGCAATAAGAAGAAGCAGAGAGTAATGAGAGCAGAGAGGGTCAATTTACCAATGAAGGCAAAGCTGAAGGACACCCATGTTGAGTGAGGGGAAGGGCCAGTTCCAGTTATCTTTATCCAGTTGGTGTTCGGCAGTGGAAGTGACAACACTGTTGGCAGAAACAGGGTTTGCTTAGCCATGAGAAAAAATGGCTGCAGCTAATGTGGCTACTTTTTGTAGAAGAATCTCAGCAGTCCTGAAGGCTTCTGGGTCATTAATAATTCCCAAGCCCCAGCTAGCACAAGGTTTTCTGTTAGTTTGTTACCTAAGAATGCACAACATGTCACATCCTTTCACCAGTGTAGATTACTTCATATCACATTGTCAAGAAAAGAACTGGAAGAATTTTTTGATGACCCAAAGAACTGGAAGCAAGAAAAACTGAAAT